TGAATAACGCCTGGCCTTCAGTCCTCAGCACCTGGTACATCATTTCAAACACGCAAGTGCTCGCTTCGAACCTGACCGTGCCAAAAGCTTGGCCACGGGCCAGCCAGACTGCAGGGTGGACCGAGAGGTCAGAACATTTAACAGAAACTTCTACTAGAAAGACTTTTCTTACCTTCCTTTGTGCAGTACCAAGCATCACCAGGTTGTCAGGAATTCAAGACTCCTTACGTTTCTCTTTAGCTGCTTTGTCATTACGTCAAATTCACAGAAGCAAAGCAGAGAGACAACAGTGAAAGTCGGGGAGATTGTGCCAAGGACGCGACTAACCCTTTCACAACTAATTGGGAAACCTTCAGCAGCGGTTGTGCACATACTCGAACCGCTTTTCAGCAACGGCTTGCGTTCTGGGTTAAGTCATCCACACGCTACCGTACAGCCACACTAGAGATTAAAAACTGGCAAGAAAGCGAGCATTTAAGCAGCCTGGTGACCAAGTCCGTAAGCACGAAGCTACCTCTGCCGTTCTGTGGACTGCATCCCAGTTCTCAGCACGTGGAACGGCATGTGCCCCTCAAAGTTGCAGTCACATTCACAAGATGGTAAGTATTTTTGGAAAACAGTTTATTTGGGAATTACATAATATTTTAAATTTTCCAAAATACATCTTACTAGATCCCTACAAAAGAAATCTAAATAAGTACAACGATATGAAATTAAGCTTGTTGCAACAGTCATTAAATATTTACTTCCACTAATATATACATACAAAATGCCACACAATGAGCTTGTTTACCCTTGGAATGTGTGCTGCGTTCCAGCAGTTACGCTCCATCTCCATATCCTCCAGTTCCACAACATGAAGACTCAATATTAACACTTTGTACATCCTTTATTATAGGCAAAAATCAAAAAAAGTTTGTGGTTGGTGGGGTTTTTCTTAATAGAAATTAAAAGTAACCCTCTGCAATTTCACAGCTGCGGTAGTTTGTCTACTGGGGTATCAAACTTGAAGTCTGCTGGGAAGAGATCTGGAGCTCGAGGATAGATCAGCCTGTACGATTGTCTGATCGTAACATCAGCCACACCAGCAATATCGCCAATTTCTAAGACAAAAAGCAGAAAAGCGGTTAGCTTTCACTCTTGCCATTTGAGAAAAACCAGCGAGCATAATTTAATCAAGAAGCGCTGTGCACTTGGCTTAATTCGTAGCTCTCCCAAAAGCCTGGTAAAAATGGTTTTAACCGTGGTGACTAATACTTTGCACGCGTAAGTCTGTCTTCTCACGTGCCATAATTCAACTTGGGCTAGCGATCTTGGAATAGCATCGGTTCCAAAGTGGCAGAGGGCCAAAAGTCATTAGAAGCATCTACTGCAAACTCCACATCTGCCCAGCGATATTCTAACAAATCGTCACCGACATCAGGATCTTCATTTTTGCGCTTTAATTAAATAAGCAAAACCAGCAAAAAACTTCGGCATAGACAAAGCGCGGTACCTTCCGCTAAACGAGAAATACATTCACCTTAAAACGCACAGAGCACTACGTCAGAGGCACAGAGCACTGCTCAACGAGCAAAGGACACACTTCTTTGAGATGCACAGAAACTTAAATTTATTCCAGATTTAACCAAGTTTGGAATTTAAACCTTGAACTGCACGAAAGCCTTCAGCGTTGTCTGAGGCCACGGAAGGAGTATGGAGCCATGTCTGTATCCGTGGCAGGCAGATGTATTTTGTTTTAACGATCGCTCTTAAGAGGCATAATCCGATTGCTCAAGGCGAGCAAGGATGAAGGCACCATGCTGCTCGGGCTCTGCATCACTCACATGCCCAGGAAACTGCCAACACAATGAAAGCTCCAGGGACAGAGTAAGCAGTGATTAATGCAGAACACAGCGCCACAACCTGAGAGATCAAGGCTATTCGTTACCTAAAAGCAGCTCTCCGCTAAGGAACTGCTAGATTTTTAACATTTCTGATCTGGGCTAGACACATCAACGGAGCTTCCACAGCCAGCTGCCAGCACTTGGATCCATTTGTCACACCAAGTTCTAACCACCGCAGCCTCAGCTCCCTTCCGTCTCCATGTGCTGCCCCCACATAGGCCCGATTCCCTCGCGCCCCGGAGGCTGATCCACGCGCTGCTCTGCAGCTCACGAACAGCCCCGAACTCTTCACTGGCTTCCCCAAGGGCTACCCTGCCAGAAGAGGGCAATGGCAAAGGTGATCTACGGCCACGCCTGCTGTCCCACTGCTCTCCATCTTTATCCCAGGCTCGCAAGAAGTCAAGGAACACGCACTGATGCAGGCGATTCCCTGGCTGCTAGAACGATTACAGACTCAATGTAATCTAAAGCCATCGTGCTACCCGCGACTGCCCCCAGGCTTGCGTTTGGAGTATTTCAGAGCAGCAGAATGTACACATGCAAATATTAGCACGGATGAAGTTAAAATTATGCTCATTTGAATGCACTGGTCTACTGCGTTCAAGAATCCAACTCCCAGTGCCAGAAGAAAGTGAAGTCAGTTTACATGGAGCATAGCCAGTTACTCAGTTCTCATTCTGGGGAGCGGGAGGTCCTGGTTTGGTCCTTGCTCTATGCAATTAGAATGGCAACTTACCACTACTTGCACAGACCTCATGCAAGTTCTACAGTAACACTGAATTCTCTTTCAAGCAGCAAGACGTGGGGAAGGGAAGAAAAAGAAAAGGAGGGGGGGGAAGTTTTACCTTTTTGTGTCCTTTTTTCTGCAGAAGCTTGTGATGCCATGTAAATAGCTGCAGCTGCTACAGAGATCGGGCTTCTCCCAGGAACCAAATCTAATTCCACAGCTTTACGGGCAATGTGTGTTGCCGCCATTTGTACTTGTTTGGGAAGACCCAGATTGGAACAGAATCTTGACATGAAGTCTCCAGTCGTAATCAGATCAACACTGGTTTCAAGAGCTTTCAAAATAAGTTTGAAACACCGACCTATTTCCTTCTTCGAAATCCTGGACACTGCACATATTTCTAACCAAAGAGTAAAAATTAAACTTTAGGCTTGACAGCATTTGCTCCCCCAAAATAATCAAATTTGATTCTCAATATATTAAGATCCACAAAGGCCAACGTCATGAAGGCCACCATCACTAAATAAGCTTTGCATGTTTGTGAAACTTCCAAATCACTTCAGTCAGCGCACATTTTTCATAAGGAGCCAATTAATACGGCTTGCTTAGTAAGGGAAATTTGGTACTCAATGCCAAAAAAAGTTGTATCCCTGTCAGGGAAAAGTTACACATATTTACTGCAGAACTGTTGGTTCAAATTCAGTTACAATAGTCCCCATCATCCTCCGGTCAAAGCAATACCTTTTAAGTTTCACCAACACTCAATGACTTCCAAACGCCGCTTTTTTTTTTTAATGCATTATGACCAAAAATCCCATGCTTAAGAGCCTACTCGCTTCACGAATATTACAAGTTTCCAGGCTCCCT